GAGGCTTCTTTTATTCGCTAATTAGCAAGACGGTGCGTAAGCTTTACCGGAACATGCCACACCCACACAAAAAATGGCGTCAGTGGTAGACATTCAAATGCGGTCAGCAGAGCCACACAACCCAGATTCAAACTAATTGAATTTTCTTCGGGACCCCAGCTGCCGTCACTGTGGGCAATACAAATGAGACCAGTGAAACAACAAAGTGGGGCAACACAGTTGTGTAATCACATGTTGATTTTTGATATTCTGATATTGCTGATCTTTTAGGACAAGGCACTCATCTTAGCAATGACCGTGTTAAAAAACAAGCTACATGATCCTAGCGTCAATTTTCACGATGCTGCCAGAAAACTGACTTTGAGCACATTATAGACCAGTGAGCATAAGGGCTCGTTCGTAAATTGCGTCAAGCAAAAAAAGACCTTTTAATAACAGTTTAACAAATTATTCACCCCCACGTCACTGTCACACCTATAAAAACTTAAAAACATATATACCATTTTCATAACTAGACTAAGATTTGATTTTATTCTTTAACATTTTCCCATAAGGTATTAAGGACGGTGTTGCACAGTGGTGAAAATTTGAAGTGTCTGTTCGTTTTGTGAAAATTCCAGCTCAAAGTCCTTATTGTTGGAAAACTGTGACGCAAAACAACGTAGTCATCCACAAGCCGAAAGTAAAATGGTCACAACAGTTTTTGCGTCATTTTTCGATATGCGCAGAAGGTGTACGCGACTGAGTTTCACGGTACCTATTACTTGAGGCAATTTCGACGTCAAATTAATGTTTTTAAAATTAATTGAATAAAGAAAATTTTGGATTTTTTAAAATATTTTTCTGAGTCACATATTCCCCCCCCCTTTTTTTTGTCACAAAGTGTCACAAATTATCNTCCTTTGAATTTTACTCGCATACAATATGCTTTCTCATATTATTAGACTACAAAGCCTTTAAAGATAGTCCCAAATTGAGCAAATCACACACATTTACGCACAAGACAAAACTATATCAAACTAGTTGATGCCATCCTGCCAAGGATATGATAATATCTTAGACATAGTGACAAAGCTACGGCGTCCTTGTTGGGGGGGGGGGGCACTTTTTGACGTGATGTTGAACAATGCATAAATGACAAATGAGGTGTGCGTTGGTGGCACACTTTTGGGAGCTTGCCATGGGTGCCATTAAGTCAAGTTACGCCACTGCTTGCTGGGGGACATTAAAGAGCTTTAGCTCCGCCAAAACAAGGGAATGAAACTATTAGCTAATTAGCACAACTACAGTTACTAATTGTTGATTGTTTCACTTATGACCAATGCTGGATACTCCATGGTCATAGGGAAATGTGTGAGATGTATCCATCCTATCAGCCTTTCACATTTCATTTATGTGGCTTCATATTTCAATGTAATATTAATATCACAGTCTGCTTCACTCAGGCTTCACTGGCATAGGCGTAGGATTTCTACTGGAAAGGGTGGACGTTCAGCCACGGCGGGCGGCACTTTATTCTAAAAATGGAGGGGTTTATTTTTATTTATTTTTCTTTATTTATTTTTGGCCATCTATAGAGTTCTTTCTTTGGGGTGGCAAAAGACTTGTCCCGCCCTGGTAGCACTAGCCCGAGCTACGCCACTGATCTGTTTTGTAGGCATTACGCATGACTTTGCAATTTAATAAAATACGATTGAATCTACGGCTATTTTCGACCTCGACGTTTTTTTCCGGGACTTGAATTGCACAAACTTCCGGCAATACTTATTCAGTAATTCAGAAGTACATCCCAAAAGATAACGAAAGGAAGAAATTCTGAAGAATGTCTCTGTGTTGCTGAGTGCTACTGGTGCTGCTGCAGCCATGTCGCATAAGGTTAATTGTTTCAAGTGTTTCGTATCTTTAACTTTGTCTTTAGACTTAAATGGAAATTTACTTCCTTTTTTTTAGTCTGTACTGTACTGACTAGTGTTTTGTCTTTGTTGAACTGTAACTATTACTCACTCAGTTTCAGTATTTATTTTTTTTTTAAATTTAGTTATTTGTTATTTTATTAATCATAAATTAAAAGATTCATATAAAAGTAATTTAGTAAATGAATTGCAATTTTTGTATGGTAAATTAAACTCAGTGCTGCGCTACTGATACTGTATGCAATGTCATAGCGAAAAGGGGGGGGGGGGGGTGGGTCAGACTGGGGACAGATGTTCCCAGGCATTAGTATTAGGGCTTATTTATAGGGCAGGGGCACCAACCTATGGGCTTTTTTATGGTAATTTTTCATGAATTTGAAAAAAATCATAATGACATAAATATGATGGTTTGGTAAATTTACGCAATCCTCTCCACTCATTTGCATCTTGCTTGCCGGTAGATATGTCATTGACTCATTGCAACCAAGATGCCAAAATGTAAAAAAAAAACTAGTGCAAAGAAACGTCTGCTTAAATGAGATGGGGAAAGAGACATAATATGGTGTCATAGCTCCTTACCAAGAGAAACAAAAATTAGGATCACAACATTTTCATTGAAATTATTTTTAAGATTTATTTTCAACCCTAAAACCTACCTAACCCAAATGCTAATTTAGTATCCCAACTCCAACCTTAACCCCCCCCCCCCATTTGAGCGTAGTTTTAACCCTAAATTTATTCCCCCCTAAAACTAAATTGTATGTGGTCCCTAAAGCCACGTTTTCATGTGCTAGTGCTACAGTTACTGTAGATTAATAATACTTTTTAAAGATTCAAAATAATGAAAATCAACTTACGGTTTCATCAAATACACTACACACTTCATTGAAGGTTCTACCAAAAATAAAATCCAAAAGTTGTCAGAAAAATCAATACAATACCCATTTTTCAAAATGTCGTAAAATTTAAGGCTGCGGCTATTCGGACCCAGGTCCGAGAAGTTAGAGTTTGGGTTTATTAAAAAATATTTAAAAATTATTGTAGGGTTTGTAAGACAAAATTTGGTATCAAATGAAAGATAATTGAATAGACTTTATGTTTGTAAACTTACTTCTTAAGTTTAACTACTAAAATAAACTACCACAAATGACATGCGAATGACATCTCAACTTTTAAACTACCAGACACAATCATTAAAAATGAAAATACTACCCTAAAAAAATTATTATTATTAAGCCTGGTTTCTTGAACTTAAAAATAAAATGAAACATCAATCATGTTTTAATGGTTTCAAATAGCGAAATATGGCTGATAGGGATGTGCATTTTTTTTTTCTGAATGAATAAACTATCCTTTATTTGAGGGGGTGTGCATTACTTTAAGCCATATAATTCATACAGTCATTAAAATAAGATAATACTACTTAAGGCTTAGGGCCTACTATGATATCTTTTTAAGTTATGTGAGTACCATATAAATTAATTTAAATTGACTTTTAAAAGTCTTTAATGAATAATCATGATTGTGTGGTTAAGGTTGTTGAAATTCTATATTGTTATTTGATTAATGTTTTATTTTAAATAACTGCTTTAGCGACAGAAAACCACAGACCCAATGGTTAAGATGTCAAAAGCACTATCATATTTGTTGCGACATGGAGCAGAGAAGAAAGGCTTCAAGCTTTTACCAGGTAGAAATAACAGCTTTACTATTTAAGGATTTAATGTTACTTACACTAAGTGACTGATAGGAACATATAAATATAATTGTATACAATTTGTTTTTATTTTAAAATATGGTTTATTTGGACACTGCAAGCAACCAAATTAAGATTCAACCAACATTTTCCCACAGATCACTAGGGTATTATAAATAAAAAATGCACCTCTAAGTTTATCAGTGAGGAAATGAGTTATAGAATAAAGTCACAATAAATTTAGTTGGCAAATTTTGTGATCGATTTGTGACATCAAAGAAAATTGTGATAGATTTGTGACAAAAAAAAGTAATTTTATTTTTATATACCATTTACTCTTTATTCTTGGTGTGTTTTTAAGCATTTAAAATTAACTTTCTTTCCTTTTTATACAATTTATATTTATCTTGTGATGATAATAATTATACCAGTACACGATTCTTCATTCATTATAATTACTTCTAAATTAATTTCAGGCGGGTTTTTGTATGTGGATGAAATTTTAAAACATGATGAGTTCAAGTCAATGACAATTGATGATCTAAAGATGGTGGTTGAAAACAATGATAAAAAACGGTTTACTTTGGAAGCTGAAGATGATACAGGCCGTCTGAAAATAAGAGCGAACCAAGGTCACAGCTTACAAGTGACTAATTTTTTTTTCTTTTTACTTTACGAAATAGCATAGTTAAAAAAAAAATTAAAAAATCAAGCTTCATATATTTAAAAATCAAAATCCTTACTACCTTAGACACCTTGCTTTCTAAAACTGTTGTGACCTATCTTATTCTTATGATTACTATAGTTAAAGTAAAATATTTACAAATAATATTTAAAATCATGGAACCAGGGAAAAGACTCAATAAGATTGACAGGTTTAGTACTGGTGTCACAATAGAATTTAGTTGCAAAGCTAAGATTTACTGTTGAATACGGTTGAATGTCTCAGTTGTGAATGCTACATGTATCTATTTGAAAATTTTGAAATGATTTTCTTACTCATCACAGTGAACATTAGATTATACTTAATTTACATTTAGGTCTTGCACATGCATTACTTAATCTTTTTGTTTAGGTTGAAGATCTAGACCTCGAACCCATCACAGATGCATCCAAGTACCCTGTTGTTGTACATGGAACATTTCAAAGACCATATAAGATGATAGAAAAAGAGGTTTATATATTTCTCTAATTTGCATCATTTGATAGAAGATGCTGTTACTGATTGAGATATTATAGTTTAAGATAAAATGATAACTTTAAGTAAAATAAGCAGCAAACAGTGTTTCAATCCACTTTTTGAATATTGAGGAGAGTCAACACAATTTAATTAGTTTAAGGATTGTTAGAGCATGCAGGGCTAAAAGTTTAGTTCAGAGGTCTGCTAGTTTATTACTGAAGTAGATTAGTTTGGGTGGTCCGAGGCTAGCTATTTTATTACAAGTTTAAATCAACAAAAGCGCAGAATTATCGTTTTTTTGTGGCTATTTTATTGCCAAAAAATGTCTGTCCAGGCACAACTCAGTTAGCTATGGGGAAACATCTGCATGGCCAAATGTGGCTTGTTCTAATTCAGTTAAATGTCCAGACATCCATGACAGATAATTGGTGGGCAGATGTGAGCTGATTTATTGCTTTCGGTTGTCTATCCAAACATGTAGCCAATAGGAAAGCTAAGTGAACTGGGAATTAATTGGGGGGGGGGGGGGGGGGGGTATGAGGGCAGAACTCAGATAAAGGGAAGGAACTTAATTAGAGGGCAAAAAAATATAACTAGAGTGTCCTCTACAATTTTAATGAATACTGTACAAATGCAAATTGTATGTCAATTAGTTATGGTTTTCAAGAGCTTTCATTATAATTAATTTGTTTTAGTGAAATAGGTTTTTACATTCGGTTTTTCAGGGTCTCAAACGCATGACTCGGGTGCACATACATTTTGCACCTGGTGAACCAGGAACTGGTGGGGTAATCAGTGGTAAGTTAATATTTTATGTCCTTGAACCTGTCAGGTCAGATTCACTTATAACTTACCTTTCCAGGGCAAAGCAATTGCTTGATGTTAAAACTAGAGATTTTAATTTAATTTTTAATTTTTTGGGCAATTCAGTTATTGGTTTTTTAGAAACTGTTTTTAAGTGGCATTTAAAATCTATTTTAAGAACTGTCAAAGCAACCGCCCCCAACCCTGTTAAATTTTGATACCACAATTTGGTACCAGCACTTTTCTCCAGAGAAGGGTGCAGTAGTAAGGTAACGAATTCTCAGCATGTCCTGGAGAATCTATATTTATTACTAGTGACCAAGACTGCAATAATGCAATCTTCAAACTTTTAAAATAATGTCCATAGCAGCAGATTATAGGTTTGCATAAACAAAGCAGCCTCAGATGTTATTCTAAGTGCCACAGATAGTTTTCCAAAACGGACATTTTCTCCACAAAAGAAAATATTGAAATGCCCAACGGTTCCTGACATCACTACAGCGTGCAGTATGGTTAGACATTCACAAGTAGCCTTCCCAGTAGTTTCAAAACAGATAGCCGGAAATCCAGTTATTGGGATATTAAATAAAAAATTTGATCAGAAATTTAAAATTTAATTTGTTTTACTTCAGTTTTCAGCAATGAATGTAAAAATGTTAAAACTTGACAGAAAGGCATAATCCCTAACCGCAAATGGATCAGGGTGATACTATCTTTGAACTTCTAATTTAGTCCCATTAATAGGTCTACTGATTTCTATGAAAATGGAATGGTTATTGAGAGCAATAATTATTTTTATTGTTTTATTATTATCATTACTCACAGTGAGACTGAAGCCGGAAGCCAGTGAAAGTAAACCCAAAGCCATTGAGCTCAATGAGTTAACACTTATGAAGTGTTAAGCCATTGAGCTCAATGAGTTAACACTTATGAAGTGTTTGCTGGTCCACATACCAATGGCCATTTTCTAAACTTTTTTTCTTGCTATAATCTAAAAAAAAAAAAATAATAATAATTTCTGAGCTTAATACTCAACCGAACCAATATGCTTTGGAGCATAAATTTCTGAATTTAGAAATGTATAGATTCCAAATGAAACACATCAAACTGATCAGACTTCAAGAAGGGGATGGGCATCAAACTGTTTCACTTCTACGTGTATTAAGTAGCGAAAAAAACTACTTGTGACTCAGATTTAGAAGTTAATAATGAAGCTCTAGCATTGAGATGAGAGTCCATATGTTGTCCTAGTAAAAGAAAAGAAAGTGAAAAATAATTAGAACACCCCAGGAGAAGGTAAGAGAACAGAGCCTATCCAAAATTCAGTAGACATGGCTAGTATGACTAACAGTAATCTAAGCGAGGAGTTTTCAAAATCCCTCCTCCCCTGCAGATCGGTGATGGGGCTGAGGTCGATTGTAGGCGCTCATGCGACTGGGAGCACTAGGCAAGGTGCGGGAGAGCCCTACTTGAGGAGAATGTTATGCGACTCAGCTCAACAGATGGAGCTGGTAGCCAATGTACTAGGTGGGGTCATAAGAGAGTGATCTCAGACAAAAATGTTAAGATGAAAATAATGAGAATTTTTTTTGTTTTTTAATTACAGTGTCATTTAAAAGTGATAGCCAAAAATTGAAACAAAGTACAGAAACTTTGATGGGGAAAAAAAGCAAAAAGTACACAAAACAGGAATTTGAGTCCTATCCAGGCAGAACAAATTTAAGATAATTTAAAGAACAAGAATATATCTGTATGTAACAATAAGAAAGAAAACAGACCAATCCATTACATTTACTGGTAGATGAAGTAGCTTGTCATTTAAACTATTTTTAAAGATTGGAGTGAAAAAAAATTCTGAGATGTTTCAAAGAAGTTAGATCCTATAAAATGACAAGAAGTTTGTGTATATATAGCGACTGCATCAAAATATCCCGTGTCTGCTGCTGGTCAGTTGGTCCAAAATTGTGTTCGAGCAAATGACGAATATTAGACTTAAGTCCATACCTCAACAGACAACAGTGTCTCGGATGACTTACGAGCAGGCCATCTAGTGGTGGCTCTGGTGGCTAGGCAGGAGATGGAGTAAATCAAATGAGTGAATCATTGAGTGATGCCACCAACCTTTGTGCCTAATACAATTGGGTTCCTGAGGCTCAGACCAGTTCTATAAAAACCTAATAACCAAGTCAGTGAAAAGTATGCTGACGTATATATATATATGGCATTTTGAGACGATGGCGTAGCTTATTGCACTTTATCAAATGGCTTTCGGGGCCGATCCTGGAATGACAGACTCGGCTGCACTTCTCGCAACAGCCCCGTGACTCCTGGTTGAATTTGGCCTTCCGCAATGCTCTTTTTGTGTGCAGGGACTTTGTTTCACGCATCTGCAGCATTTTTGACTCCCTCATACACTGCCTTTTTGCCACCTGAAACGGTGATAAGCAATGATTTCCCATTGGCGATTTTTACGCTGGCTTCTCTCATGTTCTGTGGCCGCCCTATATTTTTCCCTTCCTCCAACTCTCCATACAGCCGGTTATTTGGATACAGCCTTCCTCAGTTCTTCTTACATGGTCTAAACAGCGAACACACCTCTTGATAAAAGTGGAGAACATGCTTCACATTTTGGCATGTCCGAAACCTCTGTGTTAGGCACCTTGTCCTGCCCTTGAATTCGCTAAATGTTCAGCTGAAATTTATTATGGAAGCAGTTAACTTTCCGCTCATGACTGGCGTTATGTTGTTCACACTTACTGCCATAAAGGAGTGTACTCAGCAAAAATGCCTGTTTGATGCTTTGTACTGTGCATGAAGTGAGTTTAGGATTGTTCCACACCCGCTTGCCCTCATACACTACAGGCTCTCAGGACTGCAAAGAAAATACCCAAACAGACTGCCCGCCAATGTTGCAACACTTATTTGTAGGACCTTTACTATTGTATACAATTGAATTCCGACATGCTAAGGTCATGTATGGGGGCATGAGGTACACACACTTCGAAAATCCCACCACTCCAGTCCAAGACAGGTCAAGTTATTGTTACGCACAACTGACAGAGAAGGTCCCCGTTAACCCTGTGTTATTAAACAATTGAAGTTCATATTTGACAGCCAGATTCTTGAGGTTAATTGCAATGACACCCACTTGATGGATTGGCCACTGCTGATAATGTTTTCAAATATAGGAACATTTCTGTGGACACTTTTAAAAAGTAACTAGTATGAGCATTTGGGTTAAATTTCAGTTGAACTTCCTTCTCTAACAAGTTTTAATTATTTTTATCTATATTTTTTTCTGTAATATAACAGAATTAATTTCACAGTTAATATATCTCAGTTATTCCAGTTATTATTCCATAATCTTTATAAATTATAAAGCAGTAATGACAACAATAAAACTTATGTTATAAAATATTTTAACTCTTCTGACCTTCAACCTGCAGGTTGCATACATAAAGGATAGACTTTATATTTCTTGTAAAAAAAGTTAATTTTTTTACAACCATTACCCCATTACAATTAGCAGGACATATATCTAACTGTTGGTCCTGTAAATATTGACATTCTATTTAAATAGATATATAAAGTTATAGACAAAGTCCACAAAGTTTTATGCAGAGAAAAACTCCTTTGCAAAAAGCTGCACTTAAACTTTTGAAAAACCTTATCTGCCCTGCCGTTGAAAGTTGATCTTGGTGTTTTTTGTAAACCATTGAAAGGGCTCTATACTCTGGTGTTTTATATATTTTTTTATATTTTGAATTACTCACCAAAGTACAGAACATAAAGTTATTGAATTGCCAACTAGTATTGAGTGATTTATAGTTTTTTCAAACTTTCTTTTACAGGAATGCGAAGTTCTTGCACTGTTTTAATATACTTAAACTTGGGAAAAGCCCTTCAAGGTAAAAATTCTCGATTTATAGTAAATCTTGAGTTAAATGGTATTATATTAGTTTAATTTTTTATATGATGGATATTTTACATCTAGAATATTTTTATGCCAATCAACCCCATCGCTACTAATGCATCCCCGATGTGACTAGTAAAGAAATTTGATTATGTTACATAAATAATAATTTTGTTTTGGTGGTTTTTTTAGATGGATTGATGTTTTTTCTGTCTGCCAACAATGTAATCCTTTCTCCTGGCAATGAACAAGGAGTTATTCCCCCTTTGTACTTTGACAAAGTGATTGACAAGAGCACAGGACAAGTGGTATGATTTTCATGTTCCTCGCTTGTTATTCATAGTTGCATTTCTTTAGCACAAAACATATGCATTTTTCGATTTTCTTAATACATTTTTAAAATATATTATTTAATTGAGTGGGACAGGGGCCGGCAAACCTTGTAAGTGGCCATTTTTGGTTGACTTGGATTATTACATTAGCATATTAATACAGTTCAGGGGCGGTGTGTGTGGGGGTGGGGGTGTAGCACTAATTGGTAATCTTATAAAGTGCGTTTCTCTAAAGCTTGTTTTGTCAAGTAACTTTAGTAGATGGTAAGTTCATGCGTTGTGGCCGCCATTGTTTGGCAGGCTATATATAGTTGTTATAATATTGTACTTTACTTGTTTTTTTCCAGTTGCTGAGGGATGGTGTGCCACTCAATAAAGAAATAGGATTTACAGTAGTCACAGAGGATATGGCAGCTAGAGCTGGTGTTGTAACACCTGAAGACATTGCTGCTGAATTTGATAAAAAGAAAAATAGAAGAAAAAAGAAATAAAATATCAAATTAGTTCTGTTCAGTTATTTAATGGAATGTGGAAGACTGAGTTATATTTTAATTTTTCTGTGATATCCTTTCCAAAAAAAATGTTTTCACACAGTTTACTGTGAAGAAATCTTTTTAATCTTAATAAAATATAACTTTTTTTTTTTGTACACATTTTTCTTGTTTTTCTTGCTTAACTTAATAATTTATTGATATTCTTATATTTTAAATTTTTTTAAACTTCATTTTAAAGCATTGTCTTTGGATTGGACATATCATTTATTAGACATACATGAACATTTTAAATATGCAGCCTTTTTCATTAAAATACATTTGAAAGCACTTGTGTCTTTTACTTATTTGAAAAAAAATCTTTTAAGTTAAAGGGACAAAATTTCTTTGACATTTTTAGATTAATCAATTCAATCTTAATTGGAGGGCTTTCTGTAGTCTGTAGCTTGATGTCTTTGTCTTGCCAATAGGTAATCTGTCTTAAGATTTGCTTGATTTATTCAGTTTTCATGCATGACTAGCTTTCAGCAGTGGCCTTTTGCAACTTTTAGAATTGGATTATATTCATCTTCAATCTCTCAATGCTGTTTTCTTTCATCATTGCTTGAAAAAAGGAATGGGACAGTTTTTGGAAACTTCTTATGGCACATGTGACATATGGTTCTCAAAGGTCACCGGAAATGCATATGAAAGAAATTTGTTTTGAACTGAAGTTTGTTTGAAATGAAATAATGAGAGAAAAGCTACAAAAATACATTTTGTTTAAAGTTTAGATTTTTCCCATTTCACACTCGCACCTTTCCTTAAAAAAACATTTTAAAACTTAATAAATAAATCCCTGTTTAACAAATTTCATTTTTTTTTAAATTTTCTTCAAATAAATTTCTTTTGTACAAATTTCAGGATAAGGTTCTTATTGTAGTGTCAGTTCATTCAAATAGGATTTAACACAAAAGTATTTAATGAATTAGGCCTAACTTTAATACATAATTTTGACTTTAGAATCTGTTAAAAGAATATCTACAAATTTAAAATTGGGATAAATCTTCACAACAGAAGTAGGATAACTTACCTTGAAAGAGGGTTTAGTTACCATTGTAAGTTATGGTTAACACAGTGATTCCCAACCTTTTTTTCCCCCCAATGCCTCTTGAGCACCTCAGAAGGTGTGTCCTTTCCCCTTGGTGAAAAAAAATGTAACCTTTAAATTAAATAAAAAAGCTATCTATGCTTCCTTCCATCCGGAAGATTGAATTTCAATTTGGCTGCTTTTTTAGATCTTGAGCTTCAACATTTCAGGATAAGTCTTAAAAAGTAAGCGAAATATAAAGGCTGTGAATTGCAAAACAATAACAGTGATTAACTTGACTTTTTTTTTTTTTAATTTCAAGTGTTATCATTGCACCCCCACCTAAAACCCCTTTCCCCTTTTTTTTTACCTCATTTAAAACCTCATTACATTAGCAATCTCAAAGATTAAATGCAGCCCCCTCCCGTTTGAAACTCAATACATTTTGAATTTCAGAGATTTGATGTCATTGTGTCGCACTCCCCTTCCCCCCCCCACCCCCCAATAAATACTCAAAATGCCCCTCATGCCTTTTTTTTCTGTGAGGTGTATATGCCCCACAACAGGTTAAAAATCCCGATTAGTTAATTAGGAATAGGAACTCCGGGCGCCCTCGAACGGATTATGCAGTTTCTTTTTCTAGTCTGAAGCATGTTTTAACTAATCTAAACAATACAGGGTAAATCAGGTCATTAGGCATCAGTGTTTCTACAATTTGATTATTTCTTTAGACTTCTCCACAGCCGAGTACATGTGTATCATTAGAACCGAGAGTATTTAAGAAGACTTCTCATACAACAAAAACAATATCCCATAAGGACAAATATATTTTAAAGTTGTTTTTGACATGATGCCCTTAAAAGTCGAAAATGGGGAATTAGCTGCCAGGCCTTGGGGCATTAGGCACCTGAAGTTATTTTTAACTACCAGGCCTTGGGGCATGAGGTACCTGAAGTTAATTTTAGCTACCAGGCCTTGAGGCATGAGGTACCTAAAGTTTTTTTTAGCTACCAGGCCATGAGGCACCTTGAAGTTATTTTTAGCTACCAGGTCTTGGGGGCATTAGGTACCTTAAATTATTTAAACACATCCCCAGCTCTTATAGTTCTACTCTAGCTTGAATAACATTTCTACACTCAGTAAGGGGCCATTTTAAATTTTACCATCGCCCTCCCTACTGTCACAAATCTCAGGACATCCCCCCCCCTCACACACACACACACTTAAAGTATATCACACTTTTTAACTAAAAAATGGTTTTAAAATTTTTAATGAATGAATTTGAATCTACAACACACTTCACTATTTAACTGTTAAATCTATAAAAGTGAAATCTTCTCTCAGAATACATCCATCACAGCAGAAAGTTCAACATCATTGTCAATTTCAGGTTTTATATGTATGATAAAATAGGACCAAAAGCCCTACATGGGCTGTAGTGCCACAGGGATGGATGATATGTAGGCCTATGACTTAAAATAAATGAGTGACCACTGTGTCTTTCGGGCATCTATTGGGTTGGGGGGGGGGGGGGGCTGTCTAAATAACAGAGTTTGCAAACAAAATACTTTATAAGCTTATATTTATAAAATTCCAAGCCCAAACATTCTTCTCGTTTTAATGTCAGATCAATTTGCCACACCTATTTGCAGGCATTTAAAACAAAATTAGATGGAAATCCAGATGTAAGCTTTTTTAAAAAAGTTTTTTGTAAACTTGTATGTCAATTTTTTTAATTTTTTTTTTTGGTATTTGTTTTAGAAAATTTATTCTTTCAAAAAATTCTTTGGATTTGATAGAAATAATATTATTATTAATATAATGTGTAAAAATATATCGGAGAGGTAATTTTTAATTTCTCCGAAGAAAGTTATAGTAGTTTGAAATTCTCCCCCCCCCCCCCNGATGTCCCCGGGCGCAAGCTAGTTAGGGGCGCCAAAATGTGATTTGATATTATATTATTGGTAAAAATAATGGGTTTGAGAGTTGAAAAAAAGAAAAGGGGGCGCTTTAAAATGGATCTTGTCCCCGGGCGCAAATCTTGTCCCCGGGCGCCAAACACCCTCGCTACGCCACTGCTGGTGCTGTTCACCAATTTTGGTGCTGACTTCTGATAGATAGGCTAGGGCCTACATTGCATAGTGTAGTTGCTTGTGTTAGTGCTGATAGATACATTGCCGAGTGTAGTAGCTAGTGTTAGGGCCACCCTTTTAACGATACAAATTCTGCAGTTTTCATTAATTGCCACCCAGCGATATATAGAAAAAAATGACACTTGGGTGGAGCACCCCATGTGCCCCCATTGCAAAAGCGTACTGGGTAAATTCGGAGTGTGTTCTTATTTCGTTGTATTAATTTTTTTTTAAATAATAATTGTAAAAAAGCGAAATATTTTTCTTGAATTTCAATGAACGAAAAGAAAACATGAAGGGTAGTCGAAACCAAGGGAGAAAACTATTAACAACTTTTTTCATGACAACAAAATAAAATTAAATCGGCAATGAATCAGTCAAATGAGTGAGCAATAGGTCTACAGATTGTATATAAGTGTATCAATGATATTTTTTAAATTTATATTTGAGTACTACTTAAACAGTTTACCGTATTTTTTTACTAACATGATTTTAAACGTACTATCTATTACTTTTAATTAAAATAATTATCGAAGTGGCCGTGTCCACCGCTGGATATACCCACGGCTGTACCTAGACCTAGGCTAGCAAAACTAAATTTGGCAAAACCATCGACCTAGGCCTGCTTACACCGCGGCGAAAATTTTCCATTGGCATGCTCTTACTTAAGATATGTCTTTTGATACGATATTGTGTGGTCTTGGGGTAGAGTAAACCATCATAATTTGTGTCAGTCAATCGCTAGCTAATAATATTTTATAAAAATTGGCTGGACTGATCATCAGTCTGATGAAACAGATACACTAACTCTAGCGAAAAAGGGTGTCGGGGCCTATCACACAAATTTTAAAACAACATCAGGAATATGTCCAAGACATTTTTACACCACGTAACGCCCCATCTGATGACATAAAATGTTGTACAATGAACAATAAAATTGTTTTTGTTAACTTGTATCAGTGTTACAATCTCTATTTTTCATCCATGGCGCTCACATGCAATGCTTTTTCCTATTTTGTAGGATCGTTGATGGCGCCCTAAGCACACGCCGTGTACGAAAAGTTAGATTATCGTTTCTTGACCCCGGACCCGAGGTTCAAACTTCATTATAATAAACTTATGGAAATTTAAATATTTGCTGGGCGCCCTAGGTGCCCCTTTGGCCACGGCGCCTTGTGCGAGGGCACAGGTCGCACACCCTAAAGGCCGGCCCTGAACGCTGAGATGTATGCAGTTTCAGCCATTAATTATTAATACTATACTACTACAAATATAAGTTACAGTACAGTAGTTGTTACCTAAAAACAATATCATCCTTACCCTTAAGTCTTTTTTCTCTTCTCAAATGCTTCTTATGTTATAATTAAATCTAATATGTTGCTTTACCTTTTCTGTTTTAATTGCATTTTCTTTACTAACTGAACCAAATATTAATTTACTCCTTTATTTTTTTTTAAATTACAGATTTGCTTGGAAGAATATAATCTAAGACTGATACATGGTTTGTGATGTTAACATTGAATTTATGTCATGGTTTCCATACACAGAACACTTTTGTTGAGTTTTATACTTCTTTTACTCCTGGGTCTTCTTTGTGAATGTGTGACTGAATACACATTCAAACGTTATACGTACAGGAAAAAACGTGACGATAAACGGTATAAGTCAGCAAGACAACGATGTGAAATGGAGGCAGAGTGCCAAGGATTATGGGGAGTGAAGCACACAAGTTGTACTCGCATGTGCATGTCTGAATTTTGCTACAATGAACTGTATGGTCAAGATGAACTGGAAGAAGGTGAAATAGATGTGAGGCTGAACTCTTTCAAAGGATGCCTTAGTCAAGTAAAGATGGAGGATTTATGATTCCACTTAACTTACTTAAACCAATTTGTTTAGCTTGAAACTGAAGCAATCATAACTGTATTATTTTATCATTTTTGTGTAGTGTATCCCTTGTCATTAAAAAAAAATATTTTTTTTAACAATGTGCTTCTGTTAAATTTGTTAAATCTCTTTATACCAGTAAGATGTATTTATTTTATGTTTTTCTGCTTGCATTATTATCTTTTATTCTGGAACACATTTAAACCATCAGATAAAAAGCTTGTTGAAAATATTTTCTTACTCATATGGTCACCTGTTTTTTAGGGGAAAAATGTTACATTATTACATATAAAACACATTTTATACAATTTTTTGTGATATTGACTTTCAAGAGAATCGCCGGATGGTTAAGTAAATTTAAATTATTTCTTTTTAAATCAATCAAAGAAATTGTTAATTTGAGTCCTCTGACACATATTGGTGATAGGTCAACTAAAATAAAACCAAATATCACACAATGTAAATGAGAATAAAACATTCACAAAAATTATAGAAGAAATTGTAATCAGCACTTTCCAGCATTTTTTTATTCATATAAAAATAAAAGCATAACATCAACATTTTAGATGAACTTTTTAAGTTACAATTTAGACTTACTTCCCTCAGAGCAATGAGCCTCCTCTTTCCGAAGGGGACAGCCATAATCAAGTGAGGAGTATTATACAGAATAGCAAAAAATATGAAGCAGAATTTTAATAAAAATTCAATAAAAATATGCCACTATAATTTTAATGCCTTGAAAAACTTAATCATATAATTATTACAAGATCCCCTCAATATTTTACTTCATCCTCTGAAATTCGAAAATAGTTGATCTGATAGATTTTAGTTACCACATAATTCACTAGATGTGGTATCGTAAATAAAAACCTACTGCTACAAGTAATGGTGCCATGCTTTAACAGAGTTATAACTTAATGAATTATAGATTTGCAGGCGACTCTATTGCACCTGTGCTTAGTTTTTCAGCTTTTGTAATAGTTTTTTTATGATTTCTTTGGAATCAAGGAGTGGTAAATGTGTCAAATGTGCTTTGGACTGACAATCTTGTGTTTTATCTTGAGTAAAAGTGGTCAAATAGAATTTTTGGAAGTCATAGAGTTCAACCAAATTCACATCTGCTATCTTGGAATTAAAGGATCAGCCATCTTATAAGATGGTCAGATCAAAGCAACAAACAAATGACAATCAGCTACAGACAAGAGTATCCATGATCTTTGAAAAAGCAGGGAAATCCATTCAACCAAAAAGCCCAGATCCTGTTCCAAATTCCATCAGAGTCCCATTTTATCTAAAATGGGAAAATGTTCATTAAATATTGTATATGTGGCTTACAATATACATCAGATCAGATATAGTTCAATGGTTTTCATGGACAAAAACAAATATAGAACAATGTGAAACTATATATTTTTTTTTTCAAATAAAATTTGTTGGTCCACACTTTAAGATAAACTGCCCTACGGAGTATTAACATCCATAATTAATATGGAAGCATTTTTTTTCTTTTATCTCCCCTTCTTGCCTTGATTGATTAATTTAATCTGGCAATTCTCTTTTCTTGGAAGATACAATGAGTGGATTTTAAATCAGGAGTTCTTGAAATATTTGAAAACAAAATTGTGTTGGAAGACCTCTTTTGACTAATGGCTCGGATAGTCAACAACACAGCATATGGTACTTCCAGAAAATTCTTTCTAAGAAATTGAAGTTGCTTGAATGGTCTGTAAGTTCCTAGAGCTGGCACATCCTGGGCAGGAATGAAGTGTTTCATGGGCAAACAAGTCACAGTCTAGGCAAAAATACTTCTCACACTTCCCACATACATAAACCTGAAATAGTGAAGAAAAAAGAATATTTGAAGAAATAATTATATCAATCTATCTTGATATTTAAAGCAATTCAAAATAAATGGTTTGCTGCAATTAACGAATAGGAGCCAGAATGATCAATTCATTGATCGTGGGCCCTCAAAATAAAGAAGAAGAAAGAAGAAGAAATGAGCAAATAATATAAAAAATGTATGCAGGGTATAAGTGTATAAGAAAGATATCACCCGATGGAATTTTAACATAGCCAAAATTAATTTTATAATTTTTTTTATAATTTAAATATTTGCCAGACATCGGAATACTGGTAAAGGTTACGAAAATCATTTAATCATTACTCACATGTGGATCCAATATTTCAATCTGACAAGCATAGCAGCACCTGAAGAGAAGAATACATTATAGTTAAGCAACAAAGAGAAATGGCATGCTCACAAAGATATTAATCACAGGTGGTAAAATCCAATAGCCTCATGTGTACCCTAGCATAAATTGAACATAAATAATTTCTCCTAAAAAACCAAGAGTTTTTTTAGTCTTAAAAGGGCTCTCAGCTGGTATTAATAATCATCCATCACAATAATTTAATGTTTTTTTCAAAGAACAGTACTATTTCATGGGGTACATTTTTTTTTCTTCTGAATAATGAGAATAAACAGAAATAATCTCTCCAGATTTAGCAATGTCCTAAGTTTGGTGCACAAAGGAATATATTTTATGTATGCTGTATATTATAGTCTGTCAATCATGATATTGGAAAATGACATCAATACCCCACTATTTTTTAAACGAAATGACTGCTTGGACTTACACTTGCCCATCTGTTACAATATCAGATGTGAGAAATTCTTTGTAAGGCTCAGGTGGAAATAAATGATGATAAGACCTGGCCAAATGAGGAGCTGAGACCAAAGTTAAGCCTGTGTAGGGAATACAATAACATTTTAGGCAACAAATAAATCATACACTTAAACAGGATATAAAAATTGCACCCCCCACCCCCAAATATAGACATATTTTTACAATCAAATAAGCCATCAAAAAAGATATAAAATGGTCTTCAATTGAAACATTGAAGGCTAAAAAAGTAAGCAAAATTAAACATAATTATCAGCTGTCATGTTCTCATTAGAATATATTATGTATTATAATTAAGTGAAACTTACTGCAGGCCTTGCATTCAATTGGCAGCTCACAGTATTTGCTTTTGCACTGAGGACAGAAGTATCCAGTGGTGCTGAAACCCTGGGATGTTTTGCTGTCTAGATGACTGTTTTAAAATATCAAATAAAAAAAATTGTTGGAAACAAGATGGCTGATTTTTTTTTTTATATCAACATTTCTGGGCACAGCCAACAAAGAGGCTCCTACCAATAACGACACTGCCTGTGAATAGCAGTTGATGATCTGTGGAACAAATTTAAGAATGGATCCAGGACTCCTTGAGCTTATGATTCCTGAGCATGTTGTCATGTTTACCATATACATAATCTGCCCTGGCCTTAAGTCCCTTTAAAAAGAAGAGTTGTTTTTTTAAAGAAATATGAGGAGGTTTCTTAGAACATCATGTTATGGAACAATTATTTCCTTTTCATTTATTTTTCACTGGTTAAAAAAATATTTCGACTGAAGACTTTATAACTCGTTTTCCATTTATTATGAGTATAAAAATATGTAATTTAAAATAGTAACAAATTATGCATCACTTATGGTGCAAATAAAATGATTAAGCCTATACTGGTACGGTTCATCTGGCCCCCATTCCCAAATCCCCTCACCACCAATCAGTTACTTTTGTAATACAAAAAAAAAGGGGACCAAATTTTCTCTTACCACATACACATGGATGGCTTTTCCCCAGTATCTTTGTCTCCTCCAAGTGTATGGTGAGGAAATCCTAGTAAGAGATAAAAGTTGATAATTACTTTTCTATCACACTTAAAATAAGAAGCTTAACATCAATTTATTTGTAAAAATTATGAGTTCTAAACTAGAAATTGAAAGAAAAGAATTGTTTAGTCATAAGTCATATAATTACTGGGGGAATCTGACTGAACGCTCTAAGTCAGGAACCCGCACCACCGATGCGACTTGGTGGTGTCACATGGGTTTGCCTCTTCGTGGCGTGCCAGACTAGTAGGGAGGCATTGTCCTCCCGAAGCCAAAAACCCCGCCCACTTGCTTGACTCCCAACGCAACAAGAGAAACGCGATAACAGGATTACTTGTTGCCGTTAATGGATATGAGGTCTGGGTGGCGGTTAAAGCCCATACCAATGATTTAACTACGCGGCCCCGAGAAAGCTGCTCCTAGGCGACCTTTCGTTCCAGCTTTTTGTCACGACCACACGACTCCCTGGACGTTCTGACCCACGGAGAGTGGACCGCGAACGCTTTAAACGCAGCGTTTTCAGTCGACCAGATTCCCCCAGGCCAGGGGGGAGGTTCCCGGTGTGCTTCTGCGTGGTCTGGCGGCAGGGAGACCCGTTGTCTGGCCCATGTGGAGGTGTGCGGGATTAAGAGCTCGCGCTGGACAACCCACCGCCGTCATCTTCAATGTGACGTTAATAATATGATTAAAATTAAATGCTAAATTTTACATTTCTCCTGTATTTTATATAATTTCAGAAAAAGTTTTTAACAGTTAAATAGCCCAAATGTTATTTAGAATTACCCATTTTGATAAGAGATGACTCTGTGTGTGCCTGAAAATACATAATGGTGCAGGATGAGCAACTTTAATGCCATATAATACCATAATAAAATCTGAGCAACTTTATGCACCATATAATCAAATAATAAGTCATGCATGCAGTTATCTACATGAAAGGGAAGCTTTTCCATATCAATAAAAAAAATTCAAAAAGCTTAACATGAATTTAGCTGATTTTTTTAAAATAAAAGAAAATGTGTTCGCTTACTGTAGCTGGTGGTGGAGTCACATGTTGACTAAGTAAATCTTTAAAGTGAGATTCATCAAGAATGACATTATAAGTGCCTGTAAACGGGAGAATGCTGGTATTTTATAGCTCATGATCCATTTTATCTTAGACACAGCAAAAAAATTTATTTACCTTGTGCAAAAACTCAAAAAGAATCTAAATTAGCATACAATTGTTGACTAATCAAGTTGGATACAGAGAAAGTTGCATATAGTTTTGTTGTGTGTTTTTTTGGTAAATGCTTCTGCTGTTAAAATTGGCCATTTCAAAAAAATGAAACCTTTTACAAATGTAGCTTCATTTTTGTACTTGACTAATATAGGTTTGAAAATATGTACCTCCTGTTCGTTGACATAATGTTTTGCAGATCCTGACTTCTGCAGATAACCCAATAACCGAGCATCTTATGTTAGCCTCTGCAACTATCTGAAAAGTTTAAGGCATTCATTGCAGGAACATCTACTCTATTTATAAAATAGCCAAACCTCATTTGAAAAAAATCAGGTGATTGCATTTTATAAAGATAACAGATTAAGTTACGAAGGCATTTTTTAAAAATGTCAATAAAGTTTAGTCACAGTTGCAGTTTCTAAATAGCATGTCAATGAACCTAACAGACATGAAAAGATTATATAGGAGGTAGCCATATGGAAGGAAAAAAAACACAAAAGAGAGCAGAATATTTCCTTAGTAAAGACACACAATCTTGTGTGAACAATACCTTTATATGTTCTTTAATGTCACCAGGATCACAAGTTGTCAGGCTCCCCATTATAACCAAAAGTTCTCTGCTAGCATGACTTGGCATGTGCCTAAAATAAATAAGGACACGCAAAAAAAAAAGGGAAAAAGACCTTTGATTCTAGCTATAACTTTAAACAATTTTGAAGCATAAAATGTTTTGCTACATTGCATAGTACAACTAACAACCACAGCTATGGATAAACATCATAATCGGTTATCTGAATTGGATTTGTAAAGCTACATCTAAAGGATATTAAAACCATATAGAGTAATGATCAGTGATTACAAAGCTAAATTAAAGCACAAAACTAAGCGTCTGTCAGGAATGTGTGCTGAGTGCAATCCTACATAGCAGTGAAGTGTGGACAGTGTCATAAATGGGAACTCAACTGCTTCCCTCTAAATTTGGCTTCGTAACAATTTGCAAATTTGATAGCAGTACAAATTGTCTGATACAGAAGTTTTGAAGCATGCCTCTCTAAGCAAGAGGGGCCTTCCCTAGTTAGGCCATGTATGGAGAATGGAGGAAGGCTCTATTCCAAAGAATCTGCTGTTTTGAGAGTTGGTAGAGGGGGCAAGACTTATTGGATGTCCACAGCTGCAATTTTAGTACTTTTGTTAAAGGAAAATGAGGGACACCAACACAGAAATCAGCGAATGGGAAATCATCGCTAAGCAATGCTCCAACTGGTGAACAGCAGTGTATGAGGGAGTCAAACGGGCAGGAGATGCGCAAAAAGAAGCCCTTGCAACAAAAGGAGCATTACGGAAGGCTAAATTTAACCAGAAGTTAAGGTTCTCTTTTGGAAAGTGCAGCGGAGACTGCCATTCCAGGATTAGCCTTGTAAGCTATTTGATGAAGTGCCAATAGCTACTCCATCATCTCTTGAAGACGGAAGGGTGCGATATAATTATAAATATGAATATTTGCTCATAACATTTTCAACATCAAAGCTCTTTTCCAAATGCTGACATGATTTTCTTATTGTTAAATTAAGTCATTTTTTAATATTTGTTTTAAATATTGAATTTTTTAAATTTTAATGCCAAGGTATTAAAAAATGTACATTTAGCTTAGAGTTCAGCATAGCGTAAACAGCCTAAAAGTATAATATTCCCTAGTCAATTTGCAAAGCATAGCCAAATAATAAGTTCTTACTTGAGTGTAGACAAAGCCAGCTCTAAAGAGTTCTGTAACGAAAACTCTCCTTGACATGCTTGAGTGGACAGTGTTTCCAATGCCTTTATGTGTCGTCTAGGATTGCCTGTGTATCAAATGAGAGATATTTTTTTAACATTCTTATTGTTACCTATACAGAACTATTTTTAAAGTTCATTTTATTTGACTTATGCATTTATTCAAAATCAAAAAGGAATAAATTTCACCTCCAAGTTCTGTTATTTTTTCAGCACGCTTATTCCTGGAAATTAGCAATCCAAGTTGACTGATGGGATTCTGATCAAAATACTCTTCAACAAAAAATTCCAAAAGCTGTTAGAAATAAAAATTGTTCATTGTTGAAATTAAAGAATGAAGTTATGCCCTAGGTTTTAAATTATCTCATTATTTAAGAATTAATACATTAACTAACATAAGTTACTTTAGTGGCAGCAGCTAAGTAACTTATCCATAGTAGCCAGAAACTACTGATAACTTTTATTAAAATAATTGTTAAATCATGTATACCGGTATTTTCTTTTTTTTTACTCAGAACAATCCAACTTTTCTTTTTTTCACATTACAGTACAGTGCCCAAATCTAAAATGTGGCATGAGTTGCAGCATAACATAAAGACCTGGCGAAAATCTAAAAGTTCAATTCAGGGGAAGTAATCATTTTAAAAAAACACTGTTTATAGTCCTGTTATAATTGATTTGGGTAAGACTCTGAATCCCTATGGTTAAATTTTAAAAAGGATACCAAATAAAGATATGAAAATATCTGGCATATTTGTTAACTAAGATTTCAAACAAAAATTATTATTTTTTGAAGAGTGATATTTATAATAAAAACTAAAGCTATGAAGCAAGAAAGAAGCAATATTTTTAATGCTGGGTTGGATGCACACTACAGTACCTTAAGTGTTGCTATCAACCTAGTTGGTTTGAGGTCTTGATCAGACATAGCTGATGAGGCATCAATGACAATGAATAGGTGTCGCATCTGTAAAAATTCAGAAGGATTTTTAGTTAACATTAACTGGCATCTATAATTTTTTTATTCTTTCAAAGAAAAAAAAAACTAATATGAAAAAAGTAGAAGTGCTAATAATAATAACTTCAAATTTGTTCTTCCTTACCATCCCCAGTCTGACATTTGTGACACGATCCTGGAGTAGCCTTCGTTTGGCTCTGTGAAGGATATCATCCACACTGGCTTGTAAGGAACCAGATTCATCCTCATGCAGCTCTTCCCTATTATATACACATCTGATATGCATTATTAGAGTTATAAATGCAAGTTGGCAAGTAGATTAAAAATTAGTCATATTAATTTATCAATCTGCTATTTTGAATTTTTTTTTAAAAAAGCAATCAGTTAAAAGACTGATTAATAACAATTCACTTTATAAATTTTCTTACCACGTTCATGTCATGATTTTGCACTCATGATATAGGCCCGCACCTAGGAAATTCTGGGCCCAAGGCAGCTGACAGAGTTCGGGCCCCTTTCATGTTTCAAACATGTACTTATATTTTAAAGCGTATATAAAAAAAAATTAAAAAAGGGAGGGTTCCAATCTAACTTGGGCCCCTGACAAGTGACATGGTTGTCCCCACCTAGGTGCGGCCCTGAATGATAATTGTTTTGTTTATATTCCAGAGATAAAATGAGCAAAGTGGGTGAATAACAAAGTTAAAAAGAGTCAGGCAGTGTGTGTAGCAAAGTACAGACAATATACCATAAAATGCTAAAGATGTTCAATAAAAAAAAGAAATATTTAATCTACTGAGCTCATAGTAATTGTACAGGGTGGCCCAATAAAAGTGAGAACATCTCGTAAAATATTACGCTACGAGATGTTCTCACTTTTATTGACCCACCCTGTAGTAGATAAGAGATGATATTTGTAATGAATTTTGAGGAAAATTTTACTAAAACAGGAGTACATCCTTATGCTTTAAGTCCTTATCTATAGCTATATCTAGTCTAGTAAACTGAAATAAATATCTATTTTATTTATGAATTTACGCAGCAAAATCTTTTTTTTTTTTAAATTTAAATACACAAATACAAACCACGTTTTTTCATATTCAGTCTCCCATCTGTAACCTTTATCATCTTCATCCCCCATTTTGAAATATAATTAATTCCGGTAGCAGGTGGATACACAGGTGACAGTGCAATGGTGAATGTACAGCAGACTCAGTGCAGCAGAGAAGTTCAACAACGTCCAACAAGTCACTGTCGACACTGTCTCTGAGTTAAGTAAGAATACCAAGACCAAAGCCAAAGTAAGATTTAGTTAAGTTAGTTTTAGTAAGTTATCCTAGATATAAATATTTGAAATATAAACATATTATTAGTAAGGTATAGATAGGCACCAGGTAATTATTATAGAATTGAACAGGCTAAGTAAAATCAAGATATATTTAGAGTTAAAATAATTTTTTATAGTTCAAAAAATGCTAATCTACTAAAATGGGCAGGTTGAATATTCACTTTCGTTTTCTTTAATAAAGGAAGTTCGTAAAGGTGAAGGACAAATGTTCTGATAATGTTTTCGCTCTTTATTTTATTTTATGCTAAAAATACCTTTTATTTAGTTTTAAATTACTATAATCAATTTCTATATTTTTGTATTGAACAATCAACCAAAATTTTCTATTGGGCTTCTTTAGTTAGCTACTTAGATTTGTTATGAACGGATTTCAATATAGTATATAATTAATATAGGCCTATACAATAGTGACTTTTATAATTATACTGGTGTTCGTTTTTCGCATGCGAAGAATACCAAGGGCCAGTGGCGTAGCGAGGGTGTTTGGCGCCCGGGGACAAGATTCGCGCCCGGGGACAAGATCCATTTTTAGCGCCCCTTTTTCTTTTTTTCAACTCTCAAACCCATTATTTTCATTAATAAAATAATATCAAAGCGCATTTTGGCGCCCCTAACTAGCTGGCGCCCGGAGACAGCTGTCCCCCCTGCCCCCACCACGCTACGCCTCTGCCAAGGGCTATTATATTACATGGTGACTATTATACTTTAATACTATACACAAAGGACATGCATGCTACCTGCAGAAATTGTAGTGACAGGGCGAGTCGTTATCTGCTGTGATCATATCTGCAGTTGAAATAACGGTAGAAACAGGGTGGGGATCATGATTACTATGATGTTGCCTATTACGGATAGGGCCTATGACTAATATGAGCCATGGGGTAGGCAGTGGCAGCCACTTGCTAATCATTCTATACTCACAGCCATTGAGGAGAATGTTCCTGGGGAATCCCTTTCGCCCCAGCTACTTCGTGAACTATTTACGAGGTAGAAACTCACTGTAGAAAACCCTATTGGAGGGCGTCCTACGCCCCGGGTTGAACGGGGAGGGGGGTACATGGACGTAAATACCGAAACCCTCGGGAAGTCGATTGCTGATGTGGGAGCAACATCACCGAGCTACCGGATATCCTTAGGCTTAGATCCCACCCACCCCTCTTTTGTGTTATTTGGGATTTGCTGATGGGAACCAGCTTATAATCCTAGAAGAAGAATCCCAGGCCTTGTGGATTTAGTCCTGCGAAGTCTACACCATCGTCACATCGTGACGGACGGATGCCAGAACCAGTGAAGTTACGGGCGGGAATGTCCTAACTCTACCAGGAGATCTCAAAAGTGCCGCTTTGAGGCTCAAAATTAGAGGCGGGTAGTTTGGGCTTGAAAAAAAAAAAGGGGGGGGGGGTTTTGGGGGGAGGATTGCCATTAGGAGATTGCATCCCCAAAGTGAAGTTACGGGCGGGAATGTCCTAACTCTACCAGGAGATCTCAAAAGTGCCGCTTTGAGGCTCAAAATTAGAGGCGGGTAGTTTGGGCTTGAAAAAAAAAAGGGGGGGGGGTGTTTTGGGGAGAGCATTGCCATTAGGAGATTGCATCCCCATGTACATCTTTACATAAATACACACATTGCTGCTTATTCATATGTTTGCTTAGTCTACGCACTTTGCGTGTTTTAGAGAAAGGGGGATTATCACTTTCTGTAATAAAAGGGCATTTTAATTTAATATTCATTTCAAAGTCAAATCATTATCTTTTCGACCAAGAAGACGCAATTTTAAGACGCACGCCGTCTGTGAGTCATAAGTTATTTTTGCTCGAGTTGCCACATAGTCATCTCCTGTTCCTCTCAATCTCATCTAGTACCTGCCCTTATTTATTTACTTCCGTCAACAAAGATGGCGTACTGGTTTCATAGAAATCCCCTTAAAGCAACAGCTCCTGTTAATTATGAATTACACGGAGTTTCAACGAATGACGCTACTAGAAAAATATTCAGGTACCACCATTATATATAATTTTGTGTCTTTTTTAAATTGGAGGAGTTAACAGAAAATGTGGCACTTAATTGATTCTTAAACAACGAACTTAACGACTTAACGGAACTACCAAAATTATAATTAATATTGATAATAATAAATAACATGTCCTGGTCTTAGCCTAACAAGGTCAACAGTCTGTGTAGGCCCTACACCAAAAATGACTACTTTTACTAACAAAAGAGACACAACTGTAACTCACCTCTTCTTCTATAGCTGAAGGGCCCACAATCAATTTATTGATCATTTTGGTCATCTTTTACTCATTCACTGAGTCCTGTAATTGTATGTTCAGGCTGAGTAAGTCTTAGTCCATGATCTTTAATCTTTACTAAAAAACAGTGTGATGTCTAATACTAATAGTATTAGTAGTATTAGACATCACACTGACATAGTTAATACTACTTTATTAAAATCAGACTACTCTTTAAAAAGTCTATAGCCTATGGCCTATAGCAGTGTTTCCCATCCTTTTTCAGTAAATTTTGACTACGATTGCCACTATTTTCTCAATGGCCGCCATCTTGGTTAACACGTCACATGAAGTCACGTGACGTGCCAACCAAGAAGGCGGCCATAAAAAGTAGTGCAAAACACGTGTTGTTAAAAATAAAAATTTTGTAAAAATTTTTTGTAAAAATGAAAGGAAATAAATAAAATTAATAGCATTTTTTTGAAAATCTATCCCCTATGCCTAACCTGAACCCTAAATCGATCCCTATGCCTAACCTGAACCCTAAATCCATCACTATGCCTAACCTGAACCCTAAAACTAGCCCTAAAGACATAAGTAAAAACACGTGGAATTAACTTCCTGTGGCAAGAAAAATATGACTTTTGAAAAAGGAAGAAAAAAAAACAAGAAAATATGGCCAAAACATAATTATGAAATAAATAAGTAATGAAAACCCAACTTACAGTTTCATGAAATACACTTTTACACACTTTATTTCAGGTTCCATGGAAAAAAATATCCAAAAATTAAGAGAGCACAAGACCCGGCATGTGGCAAAGATGGTGGCACTAATAAAATATGATAATTAGCCAACCATTGATAATTTAAATTGATAATTAATCAACCAATTAAAATTTTAATACAAAACATGTCATCAGCGTAAGAATACTAATACATAACAAAAAATTTCTTTAAAAATAAACAAAGGGAAGTCACTCCCTGGAAAATAAGTCGTGGCAATCGTAACTAGTATTAGCCCCTTTTTCACTACTCTGCATTCTATGAATTATTTGACTACACGGTACTAGTCGTTCAACCCCCCCCCCTACACACAAATTATTTCTTACTTAAGACACTTAAGTCTTATACCCCTACAAAGTACAAAAGTTATAGTGAATTTGACAATTGGAAATTATTGAATTTCTAATCTTTTTATTGAATTCAAAGGGAACTGTATATCTTAGAAAAGTAACTTGTGTACTCCAATAATTTATTGATGTGGCTAGAATATTATTTTTTTCTATTTTATATTTTGGTCAATTTTAGTGATCTAAGGATGTCAAGAACAAAACTGCTAGAGTTATTAACAGATCCTGGTCAAGCCCGTGATGTGGTGGACAAAGCTCACGCAGAGTATTTAGGTCTTCTACAGGGAATGTGTACCCCAATAGATCCAAGTGAACCAGAAAACAAGCTGCGTAAGCTTATAAAATATAAGTGGTCAAATACTTTGCTTGGAAATATACCTGTGTAAGTTTTATGGAGTTTATGTTTGTATCCTCTAAACTTTTGATGTATGGATATAAAAAAAAATTTAGCATTATTTAAGTTAAAAACTAAATTTTTTAATTATTACTAAACAAGTCTTTAGAAATTTAACCTTCTTTTGTATTTTGTTTTCTTAATAAATTGTTTGTTTTTCTTAAAAAATACAGACTAAAGTATTTTAGTTTTATGACATTAAACGATAATTGTTTCCTCAGAGAATACACAGATACTGCCTTTGAATACTTCTCAATGTTATTCAATGTGGCTTTGTGGTTTACAAAGCATGCTGCAAAAATTGCTGCTAAAGAAGAGTAAGTACTGTGCTATTTTTTCAATTAAAGTGTTTGAAAGAGAAATAGCAAATTTTTTTGTTTAATCTATCGATTTGAGTTATCTCTCCATTCTTTATTTTAGTAACATATTCACTCCCCTGCTTATGAATCACTTGTAATTTGTTCTCATTTTAAATCCAAGCCCAGACATGGAAGAAGCAAAAGAAATACACAAATGCTTGAGAACAGCAGCCGGCATATTTAAATTTTGCAAGGTAAAATGTTTTGTTGGTAATGAGCTTTTGGAAAGGTAAATTTGGTTTATAACTTTATTCTGTGATGATGTACTTTGCATGTTTTATTCTGAGCTAAATTTTTAAACAGATTAAAATGTCAGATTTACATTTAGGAGAAAACTTAACAGGCTCAGAACCTTTAAATAAACTTGAAGTTCACAAATCAAATATTTTTTGAGGCAATAGGTATGTTGTATGTTTTTTTTTTTATAGTTTAGAATTCTACAAATAGGTGTTAATTTCAAGATGGCAGTCAATAACATACATAAATATTTTGTTTTTGTTATAAATATGACCATAATTAAACAATTGTTCTGAGTTCATTAGTTGTTTTTTAAATTTTATTTGATAATGGTGATAAGGGGGAGAGACTGCACTGCAAACTGGTTAGGTAAAAGGAAATGAGCGAAACAAAGTAGGGGAAAACCTGAAAAAAATGATTCAACAAAATGATGAACATGTCGGCATGAAGACTTCTTCTGTGAACAAACAAAAGTAAAAGCACTATAAAAATTTTTAAAATAAACTCTCAGATACAATGTTGTATTTGATACTACATTGCAGCCAAGTGTTTATTTTTATATTTATTTTTTTATTGTATTATTATATTTTTTTTCAGGATGATTTGAGATCAAAACTATTTGATGCCCCCTCTGAAGGTGCACATGATACAGACACCCGTGTGCTTGATGCTTATATTCACCAGTGCACTGCAGAGGCTCAAGAAAGTAAAGTCTTTACGAATCGCTCTGATAATTTGTTATTATGTTCAAACTATAGCATGCTATCAAATAAAATTTACAATAAGAAAAAATATTTCGGTTTTAATATGAACAGTTCAGAAAACTCTTATAATCAAAATTAACCTTCTTGTCATGGCTGGGCTAATCTATCGGTCCAGGGTCAAATGAGTAAAAGACGAATGGCTGATTCATACCAGCTAATCAGATAGCTTCTCATAATATCTCACTCATCTCATCCATTAATAATTTACTGTGTTTTTATGTTACCTAGTGACCCATAAAAATGCTTAAAATATGAACTTGAAATATGTCAAAATGCCTAAGCAGCCCCAGAGGGATATTTTATGTTGTATTTCACACTGCATCTCATTCAAATATGGGTTAGGACTTATTTAGGCTTCAACAAACATAAAAGTTCTGCAAGTAAGATGTGTTTTTCATTGCATGCATAAATTATGGAAATCGGGATATCTCATTTGCATAAATTTTGAAATTTCAGTTTGATTCATAAAGATCATATTAGTTTGTTCAATTCCTTACAAAAATATATATAGTTTTATTTTTGTAAAGTAATTAGTTTATTTCTTTATAATTTTTTTTTCTTTTGCAATATGAGGGCGCAGCTTGTAAAAAGGGTTCCGTCTTCTTGGCACTGACCCTCCAAAAAGGCTCCATGTTTACAGGGTTAATTCAGTTTCATTTTATTGTTGAAAATATTATAATTAAACAGCTAAAAAATTATGAAATATTTTTGATGTTACTTAAATTTCAGTTACACTAGCAAGAGCAATAGAAATGAAACATAACGTCAACCTGATATCAGCCCTTGCATATGAAACAGCAGAAATGTATCAAAAAGGAGGTAAAAGTCCATGATACTGATATTGAGGTTAAATTAATAATCGCACAGAAAATATTTATTTTTATTCATGTTCTGCCTATTTTGGTTAAATTAAAATTATATAATTCTGATTAGCACATGATGTATCAGTTACAATCAATTTTGAAATCAAAGAATGCAAGTGTCTTTCATTATGAATAAATATTAAAATTATAAATGCAGAAGCTTAGTCAAATATAATTCTGTTTTCTTCATAATTCATTTTTTTTTTCCTTTCTTTTTTTGTATTTGTGCAGATGATGCGCTTGCTAGTCTAGATCAGAAAGATGTTGGAAAATGGAGAAAATACTTCCAACTGAAGAATAAATTTTACATGGCCTGTGTAGGTATTTAAAAATGTACAATTAATTAATTTTAGATTACTTCATAATGTGGCTAAAACCAAATATTTGTCTTAGTTCATATTCTTATCCTTGAGGATATATTTTTTTTTATTCCAGGCCCACAGTTATCATGGGGAAAACTTACTAAATCAGGACAAATGTGGAGAAGCGATCCGTGGCCTGAGAGAAAGTGTGGACTGTAAGATATATTTTAGATAAATATATAAATATTTTTCTGGCATTCAGATTAAGGGGTTCAAATTTATTATTATTATTTGATTTTATTTATTTAGACAGATGTTTCTAAATAAATTTGCACATTAAGTTTAAAAATTGTTGTTGTTTTTTTTTAATTTACTACTTCTTCACCAACTTATTGATCAATTATGTTTTAACAAATTATCAAAAATCGGCACTGAAGCAGAAATTTGAGCAATCACACAGTTGGATTAATTTTGATTTTTTTTTTCAAATGAGACCATGGAAAAACAGTAAGAATATCTAATTCATTTTTTCTGAAATTTGGCTTTGAAATCAATACATCTGTGAATTCCCTTTGTTTTAACTGGGTTCTTTGCCCTAGAGCAGGGGTCGGGAACCTTTTTGTCTGAGAGAGTCATGGGCACCACATATTTTGAAAAGTAAATCTCTGAGAGCCATATATTGTGTTTATAACTAAAAATTCAAGTAAAGTATGCGCATTTTGTGTAATTTCAACACTAAAAATGCAATAATTAGGTCTCTGAATTCTTTTTAATAACATTGTTATGTTGTTGCTAATCAATAATGAGTATTTCTTACCATTAATAATGCAACTTTTTTTTTTATAATCAAACATTTGTCTGCGAGCCAGATGCAGCCATCAATAGAGCCACACCTGGTTCTCGAGCCATAGGTTCTCGACCCCTGCCCTAGAGCTTGTCCAAGATTACATTTTTATAAATTAATATGATTCCAGTATATGGCAAGGCAGAGCTACTGTGTAAGGACTATGCTACCGCAAAAGGTGTAGGAACAACAGCCAAACCCCAAAACCATTTGTTCTTCAGAAAGTTGGGGGCTGTCATTAAAAGAACTTTGGACAAGTGTGAGAGAGAAAATGGTCTAATGTAAGTGTACATCTAATGCTTTTCATTTATGATGTAGGAATCACTCAGTTTTTTTGTTTTTTTTTTAGTTTTTTTTTTTTTTACATGATTCTAAGTATCAAGTCTCTAGCCAACTAATTGTGATCAGGTTTTTCTCAACATTTATTATGCACACTAATTATACTTGAGTTTCTTTTTCATTTTTGCTTCACTTTTTTAAATTTAGTTTATTGACTTTAACAACAAGTTTGGATTTTTCCACCCAAAAAAATTTTGTTAAGTTACCACCAGAAAATAGCGCCTGATGCTCCATTGCTGGAACTGAAAGCCACCTATGGTTTGGTCAGCCCTGAGGACTACAAACCACCTGCCCTGAGCCAACTTTGGTCCCTTGATGTTTACAAAAAATATGCCACACCAGCGGCTGCTGCCAAGCCTCCTCCAGAAAAGGTAAAGTCTAGTGTGCCATCAAGAGAATAGAAGCATTATCCCAAGTTTTTGCCTATCAGTTAGCAATATGAAAGATCTTCCGTGACTTTGTCACTATCATGTTAAAAACCCTACTCCAGTTTTATTTTGATTATTTTATCAAGAAATCACTTGAGCTATTTACTGGTATGTTTCTCATAGAACTAGAAATTAGTCCCTGCTTGGGCTTTTAACTGGTTTAATGGATAAATGTAAGACATTATTTAATTTTAACGACTACGATGTGTCTGGAAAAAAATGGCATCTCTTTTGATAATGATGAAAACTAATTTTAAACTAGGGCTTAACTAGGGGCAGTTTTTTTACCATGGTTTCAGGGTATTTAGTGTGGGTCCAAATGTTTTAAATAAAAGTTAACTTCTCATTTTCTATAACATATGCCGGCAATAGGCCTACAGACAGTCTTACACCCAACCTGCCGGCCTTTAAACAATAGGCCTACAGACAGTCTTACACCCTAACTGCCAGCCTTTAAACATTAGGCCTACAGACAGTCTTACACCCAACCTGCCTGCCTTTAAACAACAGGCCTACAGACAGTCTTACACCCCAACTGCCTGCCTTTTAACAATAGGCCTACAGACAGTCTTACACCCCAACTGCCTGCCTTTAAACAATAGGCATTTAGATAGTTTTATAGACAGTTCTACACTATACCCAAGGCTCTTTATTGATTAATATAATAGTTGCCTCCGAAAAAAATTCAACCTTTTTACCTAAGTTCAACCGTCAGGCATGACAGTCACTGCTTGACAGCTTTTTTTTTTCACTCAGTACTATTAATATAAAACGTGTTGAGTAGAGGAAGGGCCGGTTGTGAAAAGGAAGCAGCTACACCAGAAGCAAAATATATATAAGAAATGTATCAATTTCTTAAATTCCAAAACTCATTTTCATTCTAACATATTGTTAGATTTATATCAGGACTAAAATGAGTTGGATTTTTTAAACTGATGAATATTTACTTGTGTTTTTCATCATCATCAAAAGACACAGTGTATAGTTAGTCTGCACTGTACGGACATCCAGCAAATTGTAACCATAAGAAATAATTTCTTCATTTTTCTCCCCTAAAATTTGTGTAGCCAAAGGGAAAAGATGAACAGCCAGCGGCACCGCTACCATCTGTGAAGGAAAAAGAAGTCCCAATGTCTGATAAAGATCCCAAAAATAACAGTGGCTGTGTGGTGTCGTAAAAATAGTGCAGTTCGTTTCTGATACACAGTTGTGTAAAGTTATACATATTCTGGACTCTGGCCTCAGTGCAATGTGTACACCATGTGACCAATCAGTGTTTTCATTATTGTTTTAAGTGATGATATTCAATAGACACAATAAAGGGGATGGACATTTTACAATAAAAACATGAAGTTTCTGTGCTGTCAAATAAGCATTTTGCTATTGGTGTGCTTGAAGTTGAACAAAGGGGGAGCGATTGTGGGAAAGGGAGAAAATCTAACAATAAAAACAACTTGCATGCAGGAGAAGAATATTTAAGCAATCTTTCCTAATTTTTTGTTGCGCAGAATTCCTTATCAAGTGTTCTTCAGAATTTGTGTGCACAATAATAAAGAGTATCATGTTACCCCCCAAAAAAACACATCATTTTGTTTTAAAATCTTCCACTTAATTATTAGAATATTGCCACTTTGATTGATAAGCCATAACCATTTCTCACTGACCAACTACTATGCCAGTTTTTCTTTCATCTCTTCACAATATATATAAATAAATTTTAAAGATATATTATGTGGTAGTTTAAATTATTGATGTTGCATTTAGCCATATAAAATGTGTAAGTACTTGTTTCTTCAAAACATTTCCTTGTACCGGTATAATGATGTTTGGGTGTGTAGTTCACCCAAATTCCCAATGAGAGTTAAAAATAAAGAAAAAAAAAAGAAAGCAAAAAAAAAAGAAAAAGATTGTGAAGAATCTAAAGATCAGATAATATAATTTAAAATGTAAAATGAGTGAGAATTATTTGACTCTGATGATTCAAGGAACAACACCTTCCACTAAGGAAACAGTGCAATCTACTGTGATGTTGATGTTCATTGTTCTAAAGACACTTTGTCTGGACAGTTGTTATTTTTGTTTTTTTTTACATTTAAATTGTGTGATGGGCAGTGATAAAGTTGAAAACTAAGGTACCTTATTAAAAACACTGAGCTTGTATAAATACTTTGCCTTGTAAATATATTATTTTTCTACTTAAGTGTACATTTGAAGAAATATTAATGAATGATTCTCATTTGTTTAAGTTATTTTGGGTAAATTATAAAAGTGATTATTTACATTTTAAATAATATACTCCTGATGGTTTCGATTTACACATGGTTTGTTTGTTGTTGGTTTTTTTGGTTGTTTTTTTGGATAAATATTTGTGTTAATATGTCTGTTTATATCACCTTATTTAATTTCAGAATATTTTTTATTTATATCAAAATTGTCCTGTGTTTTTATAAAATATTAATTATAGCTGCACTTTTTTGATGACACCTGGTAACGGAAGTATAGAAAGTATTAGAAGTAATGGAAGTCATTGGAAGTAAAGGAAGTCATACGAAGTATAGAAAGTCATAGTCAGTATTGGAAGTCATAGTTTTGGAACATTGGGCAAAGTTCATTTCACGCTCATCAAAAAAATGTTTACAGAAAAAAAATCTACAGCATCCCACCACCTCACACTGCCCTGTACCATCCCCACTACACCACACCACCCCCCATTCTACAACACAGTACTCCACACCTAGCTTTGCAGCTTGTAATAATCAATTGTTACAATGACCATTTGTTTGCATAAAATATTTCATGCTGCCAGTCATAAAAAACCCAGCAAACATTTAAAGTTTTCATAAATGTGTTGTTGTTTTTTTAAACCAGCCTGGCAAATTATGTAAATGTTGTGGATTCTATTGTGTGGGTTTTTTTTTTCATTGGTTAATTTGAGAAACCATTTATTTGGGATTAGTCTGAAAGAGGAACAAAAGAATAATCAGAAAAAAAGAAAATAAAACAAATTTTACTTTGCTTACTTGAGACAAAAGGTTGATAAATGGAATGCGTTCGAGTTTTGTGGAAGAAATAGTTGCACAAGGCATGTGGAAGATTGAATGGAAAGACTTGACAGATGAAAATAGGACAATAGAAACTAGTTAAAAAAACTTAAGTGTCTGCCATTGTTATTGCCGGAAGTTGGATTTTCCAAAACGAAGATTACAGGAAGTAAAAGTATTTTTGTATTATTACTGTGAAAAATAAGATCTTAACATACAAAAATATTTTGTAAAATATAAGAAATAAGAAAAGAAATACAGGGGGCATTGAGGATCATCAGTAATAGTAGGAGAGTATTGATAAATTCCATATTGTGCCGAAAAGCTGAATTTATTTGTTTTCCCTTCTGACTTTCGCTGGTGTGCTGGTGCAGGAAATTGGTGCTGTCATGGATACATCTGATGTCCTTTAATGTTTGTCTCCATTGAAATGGGATGAGACTGGGAAAGGGTTACCCTGTTTAATATCACGAAAATGTTCAGTGAACCTATCTGATAACAGGAGTGGCATCGATGGCACACAATCGCATACTTCACATTTCGACTAACATGTAAAGCCCTGTTAGATGGTAAAAGTACCTTTAGAGATGCTAATGTTTTTGGTCTGGAGTGTTTAGGGACAAGTCCTACAAGTGCTTATTTAATGACACACAAAAACAATTTATGTAAATAAAAACAATGTAAGCTTTAAGAATGATTACACAGAAAAAAAATGTGCCCATTCTTATTAATTTCTTTCTTTTTTAGGTGGGATGCATATGTTATGTAAATTTAGTTTATACTTGTATGTTTTTTGTTGTTGTACGTATTTAGGCATTTTCCAAAATATTTGTATTCTGTGTAATCATTAATAAACCTTATCCTTGTATTGTTCTATCTACACAAATTGTTTGCATCTCATTAATCCACTTGAAAGCTTTATCGCAGTCCAAAACTTTCATTAAGTTTTTATTTGGAGTAAATGGTTGCTGATTAAAAGTATGATTAAAGCATCTCACTGTGGTCTTGTTTCTACATGTTGGAAAGCTAAGATACAACAGTTAATGAAAATAAAATGCCTGAACTGAAGTTTCAAGTGGTATAAGACTTTGAAGAAGTATTACGCATGTATGCATTGGCAGTTTTTAAGGACAGAATGTGAATACTGCATACAGTATTCCTTAACAGAAGCTGGCAGTCCTACATCTGCATTAAATCTCTGATTTTTTAATTTTAAAAAAAAATCTATTATCATTAAATTAAAAGACAGGAACTAAATACATTTGATTTTATAAAAATGTGTTAATAGCAAAGTTGAATTTTCTCTGTTCTGTAACATTTGTTAATTTAATGTAGATTTTATATAGTACATAGTTGCCTCGGTTTAAACCCTAATGTTTAACATTTAGACTATTCATAGATAATATAGGTGATAGGTCAGGGACTATTCATAGACATAGGTGACAGGTCAGGTTGTCAAATTTGGGCAAAATTTCATCTGTTGCTCGTGAGGTCCATTTAAGCCTAAAGGAATCTGTTGCAGAATATGGAAGATAATGTTAATTGTCAGTAAAAGTTACGTCCAGATTATTTTTTTGCGTCTTGTTTTGATCATGTTTGAGAACAAAGAATTAGACTTGTAGTGCAAAGGAATTGGTATTATTTTAAACCTTGACGTTTACTTAACTTTTTAGGGCTATACCTACACAGCTCGCTTCGCTGCTCTGATTATTCAAAGAATATAGATAATGTATAACTTTGCTAAAAACTAACCCGCAACTGTTTATATGTTTTCCCTCAAAATCTTGTACTTTTTGTGTATGTCATTGCAATGAAAATAAATCATTTCATGAACAATACTGTTTTTGAGGTTGTGCCACTTTCTTGTGAGGGAGACTTTTGCGATACTCTATACTCCAAATTAACTGTGTTACTTTAAGCTTCAGATTAATAAAATATTTAAGGCAATTTTGTTAAATCAATAAATCAGGCCCGAGGAACCAAGTTGCCTTAGCGTCTAAACTAGAAACTCTGCAATCATCAGGCCCGTGGAAGCAAGTTGGCTTAGCATCTAAACTAGAAACTCTGTTATCAGGTTTTATTGCAGGTTGATGTTTTGTGAAAAATAAGTGGGTTTATGGTGGAAATCGGGGCCCTTTTTACTTAAAAGATTTATCATTACTGAAAAATATTTGTTCATTATCAAAATTTTTAGCAGTTTTAAAAAGCGGAGTGGCTATAGGTACCCGTGTACCTATAGCAACAATTAGCTATTTGGACCCGGCTGGTCACGTGAGGGATTTATAATATTTGGTTGGTCACGTGATGGTTATGACGGATACTTCCTGTTGGTTTGCCATCTTAGATCCATTACTATCAATCCAGAAATGTCCCATATTTTGAAGATTTTCTTGTACCTTTGAAGACACACGAAGTACAATGTGACGTAAAGCTTAAAGCAAGTAAGAATACGTTTATGTTTATGATTTTATTGTATTTTTTAATTTTATTTTAAATATAGTTATATAGGTAATCTACCACTTGAGCGTCGGCCAAGAAAAAACCCAGCACCCACGCCCACGTCTTTTCAATTTTGCTCTAATAAGCCACATTCTTTGTGCACTGTAAAATAGCACTTTTTAAACAATCTAATCGATTTTTGAAACCTTATACTTATACAAGAAGACATACCTCATTAACTTCACTTGACTCTATCAAAATTTAATTGATACAGCATAGACACTGCACAAAACCAACTGCTACTTTAATAAGAACAGAGTACCAAGTAATAGGTACTTGGGAAAATTTTCAAAATGAATTTATAGCTTTAAGAGCAGGTTGGTTAGATAGGGCCTGAAAAATGCAATTCATTGATACTAAATTTATGTTTGTAGGTCAATTCTAAAGAAAGTTATGATTTTTTTCTTGAATTATTTTGGGATAACTCTGTTAATTGAGACATATAGGAAAATATAAAAGTGACTAAAATAAAAATTGGGCAGAGAGTTAGGAGTGATGTTAAAAAAGAGCAGTAAATTGAAGTTAATTAATGAAGAAAACCATAGCCATAACAAACCATATACATCCGTGATCGTCGTAACATTATCCAAACAGTAGTAGGTTGGAGAACTAGTGAAAAATACAAACTTAATTATAAA